TTGATGCCGCATGTGGCTAGGAAGGAAGTGACCTTGTATTCAAATGCCACTGGGCCAGGTTGTTGAGCTGATGCCGTGAGGTGCGGATTCGGATTAATGTAGGGTGGAGAAACTCAGCCAGGTTTATTCTATCTGTATATATACTTTTTTGTATTTTTGTTGTAACTTATTTTTGTGTTTATTAAACACTAGTGGTACCCAGCCACGCATTGCTGTGGCTCAGTCGGGTTAAATGGAAAAGAAAGAAAAGAGAAGGCGCACATTTCTAATATGTTTAATTTCACAATGCTTGTGGGTATACAATATTTTTTGTTGTTCCATTGTCTGTGCAGATATAGAGATTGTCTGGTTTCCCGACTCTAGAACACGCAACATATAATTGTCATGTGAGAAGCAATCCGTGTCTAGATCTAAACCGCACAATTCCAAAGATTGGCCCTGAGCTTTGTTGATGGTGGTTGCAAACGCCAATCGAATTGGGAATTGCAATCTCTTAAATTGAAATGGCACATCTGTTGGAATCATGGGAATGCGAGGAATGAGGACGTCTTCACCTTTGAAAAGTCCTGTCAAGATTGTTGCTTCTACGATGTTGCTCAATAATTTTTTTACTGCAAGCCGCATGCCGTTGCAAAGCTTTGGCTGGTTGATATTTTGCAACATGATAATTGGCATGCATATTTTCAATTGCAGTATGTGCAGTGGCATCCCTGGCAGATCGAGTGAATTCAAAAATTCTGTTGGATAATTAACCGCTTCATCTGCTTCCACAACAGTGTTGACAGACTTGTATGTGACTGCCTCCCATTGAATGTTAGACTGAATGATATTGTTAAGTTTGTAGATGTCTTTGTTCTTGGCCGCAAGAATAACTCGTTCACTCAGCCAATCGTGATTCTTATAATTGGTTTGAATATTGGGAAATACTTTTTCAACCAATTCTTCTTTTGACGTCACTAAATTGCAGAAGTTACGAGGCAATGAAATTCATCCTGAGGTCAGATCAACCGGCACCTTTCCGTTCCCAATTTCCAGCAATTGATGTGAGAATATCTCAGCTGATCGATCGTCTTGCAGCTGGACACACATATTTGTGCTTAATTTTAACGTCTTTACATGTCGCCACAAAGTAGAGTATTTCAGGCAAGCATTTATTTTGTCCACTGGTGTCGATCGAGGAATTATAGGTAATGTTGGCCTGAAATCTCCTGCAAGCAATATTAATGCATTCCCAAATGGTCTGATGTTTCCACGCAAATCTTGCAATGATCAATGAAGAGCCTCGAGCGATTTTTTTTGCGCCATTGTGCATTCATCCCAAACAATAAGTTTGCATTTCTGCAATACCTTTCCCATGCCTGATGCTTTGGAAATGTTGCACGTGGGAGTTTCAATGAATTGCATGTTCAATGGCAATTTCAAAGCGGAATGAGCAGTCCTTCTACCGGGTAGCAATGTTGCAGCTATTCCGGACGACGCAAGAGCTAAGGCTATGTCATTTTGGGATCGAATTGCTGCCGGAATCAATCTAATTAGGAATGTTTTACCAGTTCCTCTTGGTGCATCTAAGAAGAAGATGTCTGCAACCCCGTTATTGGCAGTTTGCATTATTTGATCGTAAATGCCTTTTTGCCCAAGCGTTAGCTTAGGAATATTTGATTGCACATACAACAAAAGATCACCCATGTTGTAATTTTGTTCACGACGCAATTCTACATTGAACGAAGCAGCAGCAGATCGATTCGGTGATGGCATTCCCAGTTGATTGAGAACTTTGTTCGCGATTTCTAAGCACAAATCTTCAGTCATTATCAACGCTTCGTTGTAGATTTCTGCTGTGAAATCCATGTTCATATTGGAATTTTTCCTTCATGCAAATCCTTATCAACGTCAGCATCGGGTATTTCAGCGCATATTACATCATCGATTTCGTTTGAAGTGATTTTGTTATAGAGCCAGATTAGTATATATGCATGTGGCAATCCTCTTTTTTGCCATTCCATTGGTTACATCCAGCAGCGCACAGACCCAAACACTTCATGTTTTACCATGAAATCCATCAGCGATTTCAGCTTCTGTCTGAAAACACATGCTGTGATGTCATGCCTATCCACCTGCGATTGCCCAGGAAGTAAGAGCTGTTGTATATCGTCCCAAGCTGGATTGCATGTGACTGTAATGAATAGGTCTGGACTCCTTTAGTGACGAACATATGCAATTGCATCTTGAGCATACTCATGCATATGACATGGACTGCCTGTATATGAAGATGGCAAAATGGTTAGTCTTCCAACATTAGTTGTATTACCATCATTTACAACTGCATCTCGCAATACCAGACTAACTTCTTCGGCAGTTAATTTCAGACTGACCGCTCCAAGTCCAAGCCCAAGTCACATTGCGACTGACGTTCAGTCAGTCAGTAAGTCTTGGTGTCGAGCTCCTTCTGGGGCTATACAATGCCTTCTGTTGTCTATCACCGGGGAAACGCTGCTTTGTTGATTCCGCGATTCCTACGCAACGACCCATTGTTATTGCGTTGTCTCTGTGGGAACACCCCATGTATTCATTGTAACCGTGGAGATTCGATGTTCTCGACACAGTGGCTCACTGTTGGGATTACAGTATCGCTATCGTTACTTCCTAGGCAATGGCCAACTGTTGTGGCTACAATACCGCTATTATTGCTACCTATGCAACAGTCTGTTCTAGCGTTACTGTGGAAGTGACTCCTGGATTCCGAACATGTGACATGTTTTTACCTGTCACAGGTGTGACATCTATATAATCTATATAAATAAAAATGTAAATGTTCGTTTGTTCAAAGTCTTAAATCCCCGAAAGTTCTTCACCGATTGCTTTGAAATTTTGATACAACGTTGCATTCGAATATGCGCGTGTTTTTATATACCTATTATATAGATGTCACACGCGCGTATTCGAATGCAACGTTGTATCAAAATTTCAGAGCAATCAGTGAAGAACTTTCAGGGATTTAAGACTTTGAACAAACGAACATTTAAATTTTTATTTATATAGATTGTTATTGTTATTTTTGGGTCTGTCATTGACTTCAATAATGATTCTCCGCTGCCAGCTTGGTTTCCCACGACGATCTTAGGGTGCATTGTAAACATGACGTGAGGGCCAGCAACGACGAACCACTCCCGACTTCACAGACGCTTGGTGGTGGTAGGGTGAAGACGGGAGTGGTATCGGTTCAAAATTACAACTTAAATTTATCCTAATAAAAGGCACTGTATACACTGTATCTTTTAAAATGTATAAACTTTCAGTGAGCAGTTGAAATTAACTTATAGTTCAACATTTGAAGAAGTATTATTTTTAGATTTCTGAATGGAAGAAAATGGATGATGGGCTTATTAGAGGGCGAGTGGGATTTGTTTATGTAAAATATTAGGTTGTTTGGGGAGTGTTGGGAAAACAACAGTCACAAAAGAGGAAGAATGTAAGAAGCACCGACTGAGCTTGTAGACCATTCTCTTCCAAGCTCACAGTTGTTTGTATTGCCTGAGATCACTGTGGTCAGTGACCAAGTGATAAGGGAGGATAGCTGAGGAAGTGTGTAAGTATTTATGGGTTAATGAGAAATTTGGGCAGTGAGGGTGTTTCAGAAGAAATGGTTACTACAAGACTATAGTTGGTGCAAGGTGTTTGTTAGTTACCTCGCATAACCTGTATGCTGTATGCCTTTTAACTGCTTTTTCCAGACAGGCTCAGCCGCTCTCCACACATGAAGTGTGTCCTCCATGTTAGAGCCAGGTTGTCATCACAGCAAATCAATTTTGTTTGTCAAAAAATAACAGTGTAGGAAGATGCTATTTGTATGTGAAATATAAAATGACCATTCTGTACAGACGTATTCCTGTTGATCTTTCGGAGCACAGTGGTTACTTTATATTAAAAAGCTGTGTATTATTCCCACAGATTTTACATGTGTTTCATACGACTCTTAGAATAAACTGATTATTTTCTGAAATAGCATCAACCAGCAGTTGTTTGTAATGGAGATGCGGTGTGTTTCCTGTGAGGTAATTTTTCAAATATTCTTTAAAGGAATTCTGTGCCTCAGAGGTTTAAAAGTGAGGCAGAAATTAATGAGTTATCAAAATTGGTAGTATATTAATGTGGATATCGTGATCGGTATAGTAACTGGCTATGGACTGGATGACTTGAGAAGTTGAGAGTTTTGAGTCCTGGTTGGGTCAAGAACTTTCTCTTCTCCGTATTGTCCAGACTGGCACTGGGGTCTGCTCAGCCTCCCATCCTATGGGTACTGGGGACTCTTTCCCCAGGAGTAAAGCTGCAGGGACATGAAGCTTACCACTCACCTCCGGTTAGTGCCGAGGTCAAGAAAATGTGGATTCATACATCCACTCTCCCATACATCTTCATGGTGTAGTGCATAATCAGTTAAGCACAAGAACAACTTTACCTTTTACTACATTAATGTGTATTAACTACAAATTTGCCTATAATTTTGCATGGACATGAAACTTGGTCTCTGACATTAAGAGAAGATTGTACAGGACGAATCTAAATGTCGTAGTTTCTGTTTATAGACCACGGAAACACCGACAATAATTTAGAATCACCTTATATGTAGATTGAGGATATTTGGGCTGGGATGGGAAGAACTAATAGGAGGTTGGGGAAAACTGCATAATGAGGAGCTTCATAACTTTTACTCTTCATCAGATATAGCTAGAATGATGGAAGTCAAGGATGTTGAGATTGTCAGAGAATGTAGCTTGCATGGGTAGAACAGGATTGCATGTAGGATTTTGGTAGGAAAGAAAGAGGAAGGAGACCTCCAGGAAGACCTGGACATAGGTTTGAGGATAATATAAAAATGAATCATAGAGGAATGAGATGTGTTGTGGTCTGAATTCGTGTGGTTCTGGACAGGGACCTTTGGAGCTGTGAGAGGACTCTTGCGAATTCCATAAAGGGTTGGAGTACCTGAGCGACTGGCGGCCTGTCAATAAGGACCTTTGACGGTGTTAGTTAAATCTGAATGTGTTACTTTCCGACAGGAATAAAGTTTGAAAGATCAGGACCAGTTTGAGCTTTTAGAGAAATGGGTTGCAGTGTTCACGAGAAAGAATACTTTTGGAGACACATGGTCACGGTTTTTTAAAGCAAGTCCAGGAGACAGCAATTACGAAAAAGAAATAGCACAATTCATTGTTGTTTTCATTCTACATTTAGCGCGAAGAAAGTAAATTTTGCTTTATTTTGCAGCCTTTGCCTCGTTAAAACAGATTGCTACACGGCATATTGAGCAGGTCTTTTTCTGAAAATGGGAAACTGATGTGATGCGTACTTGTGCAATTTTCGGGTTCTTGTAACATAATTTCGCTTGCATTGTGGTCACCGTAATGAAATATAATGGTGTTTTAATGCTGTAAATTCGTGTTCTGAAATATACAGTTCCGTTTCAGATACATATGAACGCATATGACGCAGCAGTGTGGAAACGAAACGAATGCATCGGAGAGGTAGGAGCGGTAGGAGATGCAGATGGGTTGGAAGGGATAACTGATCATGTCAAGTGGTTTGTGAGGTGATAAGGTGTCTGGTTTACACACATTATTAAGCAAGGAAGCAATGTAGTCGAAATTTGGCACTTTAAAGCAGGAGCTCATTCCAACAGGTAAGAGAAAAAGCACTGGCAAAATGTGATGTGTCCGCTGAATGTTTTTGAGGTTAAGATTTCGGTAGGACTTGGCTTGCTGGTGTCAGTGGGCTTTTAATTTAAGGTTATACCGAAAATTAGGTGGCGGGCGAAATAACGAAATTTAGAGATAATGCGCAATACCACAGTATGAGATTTAAGGGTCTCATGGCGGTGACTGAAGATGTTCAGATTACATGGTGTCACATGGCACCTTTCCAGAAAATACGAAATTAATTTTTCGGTGGTATTTAGAACTGGGACCCCCTGAGGTTCCTATACAATGGCTGTTATAGTAAAATTGATCGGTTTATATAAAAAGAAATTGCATTTCATCCAGACCATTTCCCTAAACCATAACTTGTGACAGAATTTAGGTTTGCTGTCAGCAAGTAATGTACTGACCTTATAACTTGCTTAATTTCAATCTTTTCAGATAAACGTGGTTGGTTAAGACTGAAGCTTAGGTTTACTTGAAAAGAGATGCTTTGCTAGCGCTGGATTAGAGCTACTGTTAGCTGAATGCATAAATACATATAGTTGCATTCTTATGATTCAGAGTTTGTCAGATGACAATAGATTGTGGAATAAGCCATAACGCGTATGAATAAACATACAACTCATACAGTGAGTGCAGGGTTATTGTAATATTATGAAATGTAGTAGGTACCTTACCTCAAATTATAAATTGTTGCTAAACATTAAATATTCATTACTATAATAAAAAAGTGTGTATTTAGATATCTTTTTAATGCAACTTTAAATTATGCCTTTTCATTCATAATGCTGATAAGACTATACAAAGTGTCCAGAAGATAATAGTGGGGTTTTCAGTAAAAGTAAATTAAAGGTATCCCTGTAACAGGCCGTGGAGGCCCATAGGGTTGTGAGATGTTGAGGTTCCCACATTTTCTAGACAGTTGGCTCATAGATGGCGGCAAGGTTGTCAGCCTTATGCCCCGGCAGCTCTTTACCCCCAAGAATATTCATAGTACTCATTTCTGTTAGTAGCTGAGTCGACCCCAGGGCTATAGTGCGGCTGGAAGAATTAGGTCAATTGAAAAAATCCACTGACCTCATCGGGACTTGAACCTGTGACCTTCCAGCTTGTAGCATAGTGCCTCAACCAACTACACTACCTCATGCCCCCTGGGGGTTTTGAGAATGTTCAGAAAAATAAGTAACAAATTCATTAAATTATTATTTCATTTTAAAGTGTGCCTTAAATAGTTCTGAACACAGTAAGTTTCCACATGTGCACAATTCTTGCCTCTGCATATGTCCAATCAATATTTCACTTCTTTCCATGCTTTCTGTAGCATATCTCTTATTACCTGCTCAGCAGCTTCTCATATTATTGCTTTCAGATTATTCAGGTCTCGAATTCATTTTGTTTGGCATTCATATTGCTACAACAGTAACACCTGAACAAGTCACATCATTAAATACATCATTCTTGAAATCCTCTTGCCCAGGTGCCTAAAGGAGTAGAATTTGTCAGCAATAAATAATCACTCTTGACATGATTAACCTATAATTAAAATATAACACACTATCGAACCAGATAAATAATCAAATTGGATATAATATGTAAATTGAAATGCAAGTTAACCTTATGAGTTAAATGCATGTTGAACACTAATAATTGATGTATGCTTGGCTAATAACAAAACACAGTGCACTTTTTCTTACATAGTAAACATGACTGGATAATGATACATATCAAAAGATTGCATGATATTAAATTTTGGGGTGGGAGAGTGCAGTGGTACAAAGCAGTAGTGCCTGGTGTGAAACTGTCTGAATGTAGGAATGTAAAGGTACAGTTTTCAGTATGATGGCTTTTATGTATTTGAAATATAGCCTGCTGATACCCTATCATTATTTTTGAGACACAGAATTTATAAACACTATGCACTGATGGGTATGACCCTGGTTATTCACAATAAAGTTTGATGAGGAAAATATATGTTTATGTTGAGGAGATAGAATCTGTATTCTCTTAAATATACTATGACATAAAATTATATTAATTTTAAGTTTTTATAGTAATGCACTTTTTAAATTATATTTAGTTACAATTGTAATAAGCTCTTGTTTTGTTTTTTTTATATTACCTATGTTAGTTAACTGGTGTGTGTTATTTTAGTTGTGTGACTTATGTAATCTATTACATGTATACATCTATAATCAAATGGACTATTTCCACATCCTAGGATTTTTGCCTGTATGGATATATGGAAAATAAAGGAAATGAATGAATTAATTAATTTTGGCACCAACTGTAATTCTGATGATTTGTTTTGTAAAGTAAATATGTTTTCACTGTTAGGCAAATGACCCCCCCCCCAATATTAAGCCATGTTTGAAAATACACAAAATTAATTGTGTTAGGTGTATCTTTTTTTTCAGGTTATGTAACAGCACTGTAAGTATCAAGGCTATAGAACATTAATGACGGGATGATTAATGAATATAGAGCAGTTGGTGGGACAAAAATTGGCAGAGGAAACTGAAGTACTGGGAGAAAACCCACCATAGCTTCACTATGTCTGCCAAGAATCTCACATGATCTCACTTGGAATTGAACCTAGAGTGCTGTGCTGGGAAGCTAGTGACCAACTGACTGAGCTGTGACACTGCACTTAGGTGATGAAACATCAGTCTTATTGCATAACATGCTCTGTTTAGCTTAGGAATCATTTGTTCATTACATTTCTTGATCCATATTTTGTGCAACATGTCCTGCTCTGTGATACAGAATTGTTCCTTAAGTTATCGATCCATATTAGCAATTCAGTGACCCTAGACATATTCTTATATCACTGCCTGATGATGCTCCTATGAGACTGAGACAGACATATAACAGGAAATAAATATTCAGTTGTAAAATATTGATTGATTATAAATCACTTTGTTGTGGCAATGGCTAACCTAACTGTATACGTTTGGGACATGGAACAGGGTGCACATTGTGAAGATATGAAGACATATTCAAATGGCCTATTACCTGTGCCTGTACCATGATTTTGTTCCAGTGTTATTTGAAGAATAACCTACAGCATGCCATACTGGATGCTCGCTGTTTATATACTACAACAGTGACAGCAGTGTTGGACTGCAATGGATTCAGTGCTAGAAGAACTGTCGGACATATCAGTGATGAAGTTGGTCAAGTGGATCAGCTGTGGTGCCATGATATTTGGTGGCATGGTTCCATACATTCCCCAGTACAGGGAAATTAAAAGGACAGAAGATGCAGAAGGATTTTCTCTTTTTGTATGTCTTACTCTTCTTGTTGCAAATACACTCAGGATTTTGTTCTGGTAAGTAATGCTTTGTGTCTTTATTTACAAGCCATTTTATTTGTGTAATATGTTCAAATGAGACTGCATTTAACCCTTTGACTGCTAGTATGTTAAGTAACTCTCAGTACCCTGTATGCTGCATTATTTTTGAATAAATCTTTTATAAATAATTTAAGTGCAAAATATGAAAATTTGTGATAAAATGTAACTAATTTTGCCTCAGACAGGGAACATGCAGCATAAGTTGCAAAAGTGTTGAATTATTCAGTATTTTTCACAGGTGAAAAGTCCATTTAAATCAGGGTTGTAAGCCATTTTTACTAGCCCTGTGAAATACTCGCATCACATGACCATGGAGCGCATGCCTCTCTGTGCAGATGCAACCTTTTACATTTCTTAATCTAGAGGGCAGAGGAATGCAGCCATTGAAATGAATGATGCTTCATTACATTCCCAATAGATGACTATGCACCTGCCTAGTTTGAATGAGATTGGTATAAAGAAACCTGAGATTTGAAATTCTAAATTTGTAATACGGGTTTTGTCGATTGAAGCAAGGATGCCATGTTTTTCAGAGATCTGCATATGTTGACCACAACAGTGTAAGGATTAATGAGTAAGGTAGTTGGTTGAGGCACTATGGTACAAGCAGGAAGTTTGTGGGTTCAAGTCCTGATGAGGTGGATTTTTCAATCGACCTAATCCTTCCAGCCGCGCTATGGCCCTGGGGTCGACTCAGCCTCTAACAGAAATGAGTACCAGGAATATTCTTGGAATATTCTTGGGGGTAAAGGGCAGCTGGCAATTGAGGCTGACAGCCTCACCTCCATCTGTGAGCCGATTGTCTAGAGAAGATGCGGGAGCCTCGATGTCTCACAACCCTATGGGCCTTCATGGCCTGTTACAGGGATAACTTTACCTTTTTTACCTGAATTTATTGATATTGATATGTGCATGCTGTCTACAGTACTCTAAAAAATATTGCACTCATGAATGATGACCAGTCCTGTGTCAGGGAAAACATTGGAAAAAATATTGTTTGAACACAGACACAGACACAAGTGAAAAGCATGTAAAAGACCTAATTAAGAAAAATGAAGTACTGGAAAGCAACCTTTACCTACTGTGGCCACAGAAATGAGCATTGAGAACATTTAACCAGGCCCAAGAACTAATGAAAATCTTTATCACAGTGAATTGAAACTAAACTCTGTTCTTATTGATACATTATAATATTAAATTCAAGAGTTGAGTCTTATATTGTGACTACTGAACTGTATACCCACAGCATGCAGAAGCTGGTAAATATATTCAGTGCTTGATTCATCCTTTAAAAGAATTTTCTTTCCAATATTTTTCACGTTGCTGAAGATCAGTTATTCTTTGTATGGAGTTTGTCTTTAACAATGGCCTTTGGACATTTCAGTGGGCTTTATGCTTTTCTGTGTGTATTTTTCTTTTACTTTCAGTTGAAAACCAGCTATCAGAGATCAGCCAAATTCTGTGGCATACGTAACAAAATTTGCTTAATATGAAGTATGCTGTCAGTTTACTGGAAGGGAGAGGATTAAATCCTTACTAATTCAGTTACAAAATGAATTCTGTTTTTCATTGGAGCTAATTTTCATTAGTTTGCACCCACAAGCATTATACACCGTTATTTTTATTCCCCTTCTTTGAAGTAGTGGAATGGTTGAAATTAAAATGTTTGCTCCATGCAGTAGCATGGTTTTGGGATGGGAAGGGTAATGAAATAACAAGACACTCTGGGAAGAAGTAATTGCCTGCTTGCCTTTGATGATAGCATAGAAAACAATGCATCTGACTATTGTCAGTGTTTTCCCTGCATTCTGCCCTAAAGTCATATGAACAGGACAACTTACAGCTTTCAGGCACACAGACAACAAGGTGATCTCATAAGCCTCCTTTTATGTTTCGAAAATGAGGGACGTAGTGTAAAAACAGCTTTCTGATCAGGAGTTTCTAAGCAGGAAGTTGAATAATTTTGATATGTGAGTTGATTTCAAGCTGGGCTTTACCACAGACTATTCTACCTACACACAGGTGAATTGAGCAGTCTTATTTGTGTTTACAAAATAATCTACCAGTGATATGAACATATTTTTATTATTTTTTTAATTGCCAGTGGGGTGGGACTAAGTCCCTTGTACTGTGGCCACTTCTGGCCTATTGTAGCAGCCCCAGATGATATGTGAGGGTGATTGTGAAGCAGTTGGTGGAATGAAGATTGGGGGAAACCGAAGTACTTGGAGGAAACCTGCCCCAGTGCCACTTTGTCCACCACAAATCCCACTTGACCAGACCCAGGATTGAACCCAGGCCGCTGCTGGGGGGGGGAAGCCAGCAACTAACATATTGTAACGTGTTTCTGGTTCTGAAGACGCCGTAGAGACCGTTAACTGGTTTATTTAACAATCTACAAGTATTGGCTACAATTAATGGTAACACTGTTACAGGTTTCACACTTTACAAACCCTACAACAAAATCTCTTAACACTGTCTTCAAGAGTCTTCAAGTATTAGTAACGCGGGAGCTATACAAGTCTCCCTGAAATACACACTCCAGATATAACTGTACTACAGCACTCACTATGTCTTGAAAGCACACAATAAGTCTTCCGCTTGCTGACTTCTTAGTTATCGCACACTCGCAGGCTGCTATGTTTCAACTCTGCGGTAGCCAATTTACAACTCGGCAGCTGCCCACATTCCAACTGACTCGTAGCTGCTGTGCAGTCCGCTTATATAGCTGTGCGCTGTTGCTAGTGTGACGTGGCGTATAGCCTAGGACGCTGTTGCTAGTGTGACGTGGCGTATAGCCTAAAGGTTGCGGGGACTCGGCTAATGTCGGCTCCGCTTGGCTCACTTCGGCTCCGCTCGTGATGTCACCGCGCGTTGCATAGCTACCAGGATGCGGGGTGATTACCCGCCTATTACGCAAGCGCTATGTTACCGCTACGTGCAGCTGGGGAGGTAGGGGTCAACATGTCACAATATTTTTAAGAATCTTTATGTATGAACATGCATACACATTATCCTCTTCTCTCTAATGACAAATAATGAAAAGTCAGTAGAAGAAAAACTAATGTATGTGCGAATTCTTGAATTTTCTTGCAGGTTTGGGAAACGATATGAAATACCTCTTCTTATTCAGAGTATTGTAATGAATATGACAATGCTTGCAATGATCCATCTTTGTATACTTGTTCGAAGCAAGAACCAAATAATTCGAGGCAGGGAGAGGCGTTTTACAGGTAAAATAATTTAGTGTTCAGTCTTCTGCTCATATAAGCATTTATTCATAACATTTTTAGAGTTCTGCTTGACCCAAGGAAGTGAAGTTTCCTTAAACAATATAATTCTGTTCACAACACAAACACTGTTCATCACAATCGCCAACTTAATTATGTAATCTCAAGACCCCAAAGAAATCTGCGTCAGCAGCAATAATTCCACGTTTCCTTGTCTTTAACTTTGTTGGCTTTGTTTTATTTATTTTGTAACAAGAAACTTCAAAGAGTAAAAATGGTTTGGGTTACTTTTGTCACTTGCATTATGATGTGATTGAAAACACATATTCAAGTCTGTTATATAATTCCAAAATGCTGCATCTTACTAGTGAAATATTTCTCAAAATTTTGTATGCATTTCATATTGCCACACCCAAGTCCTATCCATTTCATCTTTGATTTGTTTATCAAAGCAGTGAAGAGTACAAATTGTGAAGCTTCTTGTAATGTATTTTTTTCTGTTTCCTAATTGTGTCTTTTTTCTGTTGTTTTCAGATGTTTCCATATACTCTCAATCTCAGTTTTTCCTATAGAATCAGGGTCAAGTCTAACACACATGCCAGTTTTTTAAAAAAAAAAATGATCCTAATTATAAGTGTAATGTCCATAATGTCATGATTGAGTTTTGAAGTATTGCCATTTGGTAAACATGCTAGAAACATGAATGAAAATGGCAATCAAAGGAGAAACTCCTGTGGTTTCATGTCCATATACGTTGAAGTTCAACATGAGTGTTATTGTGATTTGCAATTGTCACACTGCTGACACTGTAGAGTTCTGTCCTTGAGATGTAATGCCATGTGGCTCACGTGAAATTCGGTAGACATTTCAAATATATCAACTCCATTTTCACGGTCAGAGAGTAAGCCAAACTAGAAACCAGCATGAAGCAGGAAGCAAGCAGAGCTTGCTATTCAGCCCTGAAAGTAGAGTAGGTTGATTTTTACAAGGTTATGGACCACCTCTGTGGTCTAGTGGTCAGAGTTTCTGCCCATGGATCCAGAGGTCCCAGTTTTGACTCAGTGCTACCAGATTTTCTGAGAAATAGTGGGTCTGGAACAAGGTCCACTCAGCCTCATGAGGATAATTGAGAAGGTATTTCAAGGAAATAGCGGCTCCGGTCTATAAATCCGAGATTAATGGCCATGGAGATCCATTGTGCTGACCACGTGACAGCCTCTATCTTCAAAAGTTGGTACTAACTTCGCCAACAAGCGGTGGTCGTCAGTACAGTTTGCTTGCGGGTTACAGGTCACGGAGTTTTTTTTATGCAGCATTATATCCCAGAAGATAGACGTTTTCATGAGTGTTATTTGTTGCTTTGTGCACATCTAAGTGAACTCAAAGTTACTCATGTTTCAGATCATGTGTGGTATGAGTTGGAGTTCTGTATTTCAACATCCCTTTGCAATTGTTCAAATTAGCATCCATTCTTTATCTTCCATCAAAATTGCAACACTTTTACATTCTACACTTCAACACTACATATTTCAGCCTCAAACAACCATCTTTAGGTGTCTTTATGTTACAGATATTTTACTAAAACTGTGTTAAAAACTGCTACACTGTTTTAATTCCTGTTAAAATCACAGGCTGTAGTCTTTTTAAGTAAAACGAGATAAAATCCTTTAAATTCCTGTTGCATATTATTTCACCTCACCTGGTGTGTTGTCATTTTCGTAAATGTATCAAGGTGTTCTTCTCTGCTAGTTAGACTAGTTAGACCACGAACATGAGAGGCAAACTAGTAAAGACAACACCATATGCTGTGGAGGAAGCACACACAAACCAGGAGCATATGGCAGTCAAAAACTGAAAGTAGACCACGAACATGAGGGGCAAGCTGACGAGAAAAACACCTTGATACATTTACAAAAATGACGACACCCCGGGTGAGGTCAAATAATATGCAGCAGGAATTTTAAAGGATTTTATCTCGTTTTACTTAAAAAGACTACAGCCTGTGATTTTAACAGGAATTAAAACAGTGTAGCAGTTTTTAACGCAGTCTTAGTAAAATATCTGTAACATAAAACCCCCTGAAGATGGCCGTTTGAGGCCGAAACATGTAGTGTTGAAGTGTAGAATGTAAAAGTGTTGCAATTTTGATGGAAGATAAACAGTGGACACTAATATGAATTGGAGTGTTGGTCACATGTCTGCAGAACAACGAATGGTGCTAATATTGAATTTGAATATATACAGAGGTGAACCTGTCAGAGTTTTTCCTTTGATATCTCTTTCATTCTGTTTCATTGCTGTTATAGCATGTGTAGTTATGAACTGACATCTCTTCAAAACCCAACCATGACTTTATGAGGTATTGTATATTAAATTCTACTGTTATCTTCCTTGATTCCTTCTGTTCCTGGCCATTTAAGTTGAAGAGCCCAAATTGTGAAGTTCATTGTTGTGTAATTTTATCCATTTCTTAATGACCCCAGATATTGTCCTTATAATATTATTTTGAAATGCCTTCAATCTCTAAGCTTTGCTTAAAACATGAGACCAAATTTTACACTTGTATAAAGCAGCAGGTAAAATTGTATTTTTATATATTCTAATTTTTAGGTTTTCAGAAAGGAGACCCACCTTAAATACAGAATTACTTATCAGATTCTTACTATGGGAATTTTCAACCATCTGACGACTAATTCCATATTCTGTCTGACAGCTGAAGGCGGTGAGAGTCGCCGTTTGAAAGGAGAATTGTCTAAAAGGACCTCTATGCAGTTCCATGTTGGCCACTCTTTCTGTGGTATGTGGTGTAAAAACATGCACATCATTCCCTCACCCATTGCTTCATAAAAATGTGCTTTGTATACTTGGAGCAGCCAAGGTGCATTAGTACTAATCTCAGATTCCCTCTCCTTTCTTGGCCTTTCATTTGCTCTTCTACATGGATAGCTGCCGACTTTCTCTGTGCATAGATTAGTTCTAATAGAGATGATTAGTGTAGACAGTAGGAATATAAGGGACAGTGTTCAGGGAGTTGATATAACTGGAGAAAATGGTATTAGTAATATTTTCAGGTTTTGTAGTTCATTAATATGCATTCTAGCATCATATTTGTCCAACCATAATACACAGTTCTTTTCATCAAGGTGTTCCCTCCCCCCAAATGACCAACTTTTTATTTATGCATGTTTGGCTTTTTATAGACTTGAACAAGGTTAAACTTTGTCATCTTGGTATAAATCTCCCACTGATATGTTGCTGATGGCTGGGTTTGAAATTGGCAGTAATGGAATTTATGTTGTAAATAAAATTGTGCTAGGCAACCTGAACCAGTGTATGCACTGGCACAGTTCTGCATTTCACAGATGATAAGTATTAAGTGTGAAGTTGCAGTCAGTTTTGTGGAAGGTATTTGAGGGAAAGAACCATACATTAAATTTGTACAAGTACAGTAATTAACTCTTCAGAATGGAGGAATGTGCTCTTTATGCCTTAACAAACTTTCCTGGTGCAGAGAGACTTGCTTTCTTTGCCTTTAATTGTTTTTCTGTTTCAGAGGACTTGGCTTTCCTTGCTGCAGTAATTTTCATCCTTTGTAAAAGGATCTGTTCTATTTTCTTCAACAGATTTTTTTTATCTGTACTAGAGAGTTATATTTTACATGCCCCTTACAGATTATTGTGTTTCACACAGGGACATGTTTTACATGTTCCAGTGAACATTTTATCCTTCACAGTAGGATGCATTTTGTACAGTCCAACAAATTTGTCATCTTTCATGGTTGCTTGTTCTGCATGCTCCAGCAGATTCTTAGTCTTACATGGAGGGACATGTCCTGTGTACCCCAAAATATATTTCCTTTCTCAGAGAGAGAAATATTCTGTATTCCCAGCAGACTTTTTATCTGTACTAAAAGGGACATGTTGTGCATATATGCTACAGGCTCTGCCCTGTAACACTATTATGTTTCATTGTATTTTTATTTGCACGTGAGCAAAATTTATATCAGGGAGTAGGTAAAGGTGCAGGATTATTGATTTGTTTATTGATTGAATACTAATGTCTTCACAGTTCTTGAAATATAAGCAGTCTTCTTAGCTTTCTGGTATTGTGGACCAATACCAAAAGTCATGGGATAGCGGTATGTAAATTTATTTTTAAGTGGTGCCACCATCCCTTGATGGCTTGGGAATGCCCAGAGCAGTATCAGTTGTGAGGTGTTCTCTCGTGAGTCAGGTTGAACACCGGCCAGTCTGCTCATGGCAAGCCAACGTGAATTATCAGAGTTTGAACGGGGCATGATAGTGGGTGGCAGGCAGGTGGGACATTCCATTTCTGAAGTTGTGAGGTCATTCAGCATTCCTCAATTCACGGTGTCACGTGTGTACCGGGAATACCATGTGGAAGGCATTTCCACCCACCGTGGACAGCGCAGTGGCCGACCACAGGTGCTTAATGATCGTGACTAGCGGCGTCTAACTAGAATTGTCCATGGTAACAGACAAGCGACACTGGCTGAAATCACATCCACATTCAGTGCAGGAGGTACCAGACGCATATCCAGTAGGTCAGTGTAGCGTTCTTTAACTTCCATGGGATATGGGAGCAGAGGACCTACCAGAGTGCCTCTATTAACACCACGACACCAGACACAGCGCCTCACCTGGGCTTGTGACGTCACTAATTGGACCCTGGAGGATTGGCAACATGTGGCGTGGTCCAATGAATCACAGTACCAGTTGTTTCGGGCGGATGGTAAGGTTTGGGTGTGGCGCAGACCCCATGAGGCCATGAACCCCAATTATCAGCAAGGCACTATGCAGGCTGGTGGTGGTTCCATACTGGTGTGGGGTGTGTTCATGTGGCATGAGTTGGTCCGCTCGTCCACCTAAACACGTCATTGACCAGTGACCACTACGTTACACTGCTTGGTGACCATTTGCAGCCCTTCATGGACTTCATGCAGCCCCACAATGATGGGATATTCCAGCAGGACAATGCACCATGTCATCGGGATGGAGTTGTCGAGAATTGGTTCGAGGAGCTGCACCTTCAAATACCAGGGAGCTGTGGGTGTCTATCCAGACGGCATGGCTCAACATCTCTCCAGAGGTCTTCCATCCACTTGTGGAATCGATGCCACTTTGAGTTGCTGCACTTTACCCGGCTAGAGGGGCTCCTACACGATACTAGGTACCTATCCCATGACTTTTGGCACTTCATTGTATACTATGAAGGTGATCCCACGCCAAGAGGTTAAGGGAGTAAGATTTAGTTATAGAATTATGTATCGTTATATCGTAATGTTAGCAGTTTCGTGACAGTGACATGGCCTTGTAAAAACATTTCTATTCCTGTACATAAGGCATGTCTAGTCATAAAATTCCCCTGTATATATTGTCATGTATTTGTGGATTGTTTGACTTATAGATGGGTTTTGGGTTTGCACTTGGGTGAATTGACTACTTTAACACAACTTGAAACTACAAGTAATTATAACTCTATTGCCGATTTCCACACTGCAGATCACTAGGACATGCTAAGTCTTCTCAGTCTTCACTAGTCGTATCATGGAAACAGATTTCAAAAGTAACCCTCTTACATATCGCCACTCCTTTTCAACTTTGCCCTAGAATATGCAGTTAGGAAGGTCCAGGGAAACCAGGTGGGACTGAAACGAAACGGGACACATCAGCTGTTGGTTTACGCCGATGATGTGAATCTGCTGGATGATAATGTAGATACCATAAAGAAAAACACACAAACTTTAATTGACGCAAGTAAAAAGGTTGGTCTAGAAGTAAACACAGAGAAAACTATGTATATGTTACTGTCTCGTCACCAAAATGCAGGGAAAAATCATGACATAAAGATAGGAAACAGATGTTTTGAAAATGTGGCACAGTTCAGATATTTGGGAACAACGATAACAGATCGAAACCTGATTCAGGAGGAAATTAAGAGGCGATTGAACTCAGGTAATGCTTGCTACCATTCAGTCCAGAACCTTTTGCCTTCTCGTCTGTTGTCCAAAAACATAAAAATTAGAATATACAGAACTATAATTTTGCCTGTGGTTCTGTATGGGTGTGAAACTTGGTCTCTGACATTAAGGGAGGAACATAGACTGAGGGTGTTTGAGAACAGGGTGTTGAGAATATTTGGACCAAAGAGAGATGAAGTCAGAGGAAGTTGGAGAAAACTGCATAATGAGAAGCTTCATAACTTGTACTCTTTACCAAGTATAATTAGATTGATCAAGTCAAGGAGGATGAGGTGGGCAGGTCATGTAGCACGAATGGGGGAGACAAATGCGTATAGGATATTGGTGGGAAAGCCAGAAGGAAAGAAGAGACCACAGGGAAGACCAAGGCATAAATGGGTGGACAATATTAGAATGGATCTTAGAGAGATAGGATGGGATGGTATTGATTGGATAGATCTGGCTCAGGATAGGGACCAGTGGAGGGCTCTCGTGAACACGGTGATGAACCTTCGGGTTCCATAAAATGCTGGGAAATTCTTGAGTAGCTGCAGAATTTGCGGCTCCTCCAGAAGGGCTCAGCTCCATGAGTAAGTAAGTAAGTACCCTATAACATAAGATTTTTTTTAGTATTTTTACAGTTTAATGAAACATGTTTAAACTACAGTTCAAAATGCCTTATAGAAGTATCACAATAACAGACACAATTATAATTGTAAACACGAGTGCCAAAACCTGTCATCTCAGACAGGAACAATGTCTGCTGGATATAGTGTTGTATAGATGAAGAATACAATAAATTTATTAAATACTTTGAGAAATACAATATAGCACCAGGCTATGAGCTGGACAGCTGGCTTCAATTAATTCAGTCATTCATTCTTTATTTTTCCATATATATTCATACAGGTTAACAAACCAGGATTTGGGAATAGTCCTTTTGAATACAGATACATCAACATGCATATACAAAATTGCACAAGTCAATAAAACAAAGACACTTACATCGATCTATAAATATAGATAATATTATAGGGCAAAAGAATTTAATAAGATTTCATTTAATAGACATACTTAAAAAATAACCTACTATAAAACTTGTATTTACACCATTTCATATAAAATACCCATATTAACTAAAACAAATACAGTAAAAATTTCACACCTATGACCCATTATGTATATCAGCATCATATTTAACTCCATAAATCCATACAGTATATACTTTAACACATTTGAAACTGTTAAAATTCTAATTTCTATATTCAAATTTATTATTTATTCATTTATTTCATTTCTGTTACTCCAGGCTGGTAAAACCATAGGATATAGAGGAAGTCAAGGAACATGCAGTCACAAAAAGATTCTATCAAAAATAAATATAAGATTAACAAGCAAATATAAATATTACAAGGTAACAATTTAAAGGATTATAAATATAGCTGATATTTTGAATTAATAAACGGATTAAACAATTCATATTATCTAACTTTGTACATAAAAAGTTATCCACTATATAAAATGAAATGAAATTTTAATACCATATTAGCACATCTATTACCGCACTCAAGTCATGGAGAGTTCAATCATTTTATGAAAATGTGCTAATTAATAGAGGTGCAACCACTAAATTACTTGAGCATAAAATACTACCAGTTTGTAATTAACAGTCATAGAACAAGAAAAAGATAAATAAATGACCATAAGATATAACGTTATTTATGCTGTCTAGGTGGCTATCTAGTTTTATACTTAAAAAAACTCATCAACCGTATAAAAAGAATGCTCATATAAATATTTTTTTAATGCTCTCTTAA